ATATGCCAAGAACAATTTCCTTGTTTACCCTTTAAGGCCTGGTGCAGTGGTAGTCTCTCCACTTGTACAATCCATGGTCATACAAACTTGTTTCTCGTACCATGGCTTGCATAGTTTTTAAGCTGTGTTAGTCTGCCAGTTCTGTCAGATGGTTTGACGTGCATTCTTCAGGTATAGAGTATTTTTAGGTATTGATATTGATTGAACCACTAAGCTATCTACTATCTTCTTTCCCTCGATGGAGCTGAAAATATTTTAGAGTACAAACTCTCATGCTTAGCTTTTGATATATTTTATCAAACTATATCTGAAATTGGTGAGCAGATACGGTTCTGGGCTGATCATTGGTTACAGGGAAAGACAATAGCAGGATTGGCCCCCAACTGCACAAACTTGCACAAGATGATCTCCAACAGGGTTGTCAAGAACCGACAGTAAGCTCAGGTGCTTCACCATCGTGCCTGGGTGGCTGATATCAAAGGAACTCTAACTGCACAGGTGCTAGTTGAGTATCTGCATATTTGGGACTTGGTGGATGGCATTGACTAGATATTACTGACCAGTACCGTTGGAAGTTCTCCAAATCTGGTTCATACTCTAGCAAATTGGCCTATGCAGCCTTCTTCCTGGGATCTATCAAGTTTGGTCCCTGAAAAAGAATTTGGAAGAGCTGGGCCCCTCTAAAATGTAAGTTTTTCCTTTGGTTTAGTGATCAATAACTGGTGTTGGACAGCCGATTGCCTAGCCAAGCGTGGTTTGCCCCACCAGCCTGCCTGTCCGTTCTGTGATCCCAAGGAAACAATTCAGCACATTCTTATCTCCTGTGTGTTCACTCGACAGATCTGGACAATAAGTTTTCAGAAACCTACCATGGCAGCTGTAGCACCTCCAGTCACTGCAACTTGCTTCTTCGTATGGTGGGGTAACACGATCAGAAGCACTCCTAACTCCGCAGAGGGCTGTGTATTGTGTTCTCTAATCATCTTAGTCGCCTGGGATGGTTTGAAACATAGGAATGCCTAAGTTTTTGAGGGAGCCTCACCAAACTTTTAGGGTCTCGTGCAAACAGTGGTTGATGAGTGTGCTCATTAGGTCGTTCACCCGAGATCTTTAGGCTCTGTTGGTAGGCTGCCGCCCCCTTGGTTATGTTTTCCTCTAGTCGGGGGCACCTGTTGTTTTTGTTTCTAGCCGGTGTGTTTCTGGGTGGGGCAGTTGCCCTGTTATGTGGCTGCTAGGATTGAGAGGCCGGGGCAGAGGGCGCCATCGCCCCTGAGGACGCCAGCGCGCCCAATGCCGGCGCGCTGATATGTGGCAGCAGCGCCGACGAAGACGCTGGTGGCAGCGGGTGGACATGATCGAACCACATGATCGAACCAGAGATCTCTGATACCAGATTGTTATGTGGCTGCTAGGATTGAGAGGTGATACAGTACCGCGGGTACTGTTCACGGCTAGGGCTGCGAGGGTGAGAGAGAGCCGGCCGCGGGGCGTTTGCCCACGGCCGGGCAAGAGGGAAGGGTTTTCCTTCTTAATTCTTGCCTAATTAGATTGATACATCTCCTCTCCTTATATAGAGAGGTTTACTTGACTCCTAAGCAAGCGACCCTTATCTCTAATTAACCCTAACACTAATGGGCTATACATCCAGCCCAGGCCCAATAGGCCCCTGCCATACTCTAACATGCCCACACCTGTACCTCTGTCTCTCTTAATGAAATAGCACGTAGCTCTCCTGTGCCATTCAAGATAAAAGATAACAATTATCTGAAATCTTACTGGATTAGCTCCAAAATTCAATTTGCTTTATTAGTTTGTATTGATCCTTTTCTGCAGCCAAATGGATTTTATCAGGGCAATGACACAGAGACAAGGCTCACGCTTGCTACATACGCTGACCATATACAGGTTGGTTCTTCTTTTCCTGCTTGCTGAGTTTCAACTAGGTATTTACCTGTGCACCAATTTAATTGGGAACATATTCTATTCACTAGTATTATCTTATTGCATGGATATATAAATAAACACTGTCAATGGTGGCCTATGAGAAAACGAGAGATTGAATATTTGAGATCAATATTTTGCAACATCTGTTGCTGATCTTCACTTTCTGTTGTATGCTGAACTTACTATACAAGTGGGCATGAAAAATTGCTTCTATCGTAGAATCGATTGTTACATATGTGTGATGCAGCTCTGTTATAGGAAAAATTGGAGGTTTTCTGTTAGCAACCACATGGATACAATTCAGGAAAAGAAGTAATGTCTTGGGCTCTTAGCCATAAATGGATTTCTTCAATGCAACAGTCATGTCGAAATGTAGCAAAGCTGAATAAAGTTAATTAGTTAGTGTCACAGCCCTGCTAGGGGAGGGGGGTGCGGCTGCTGTGAATGGCGCAGGGAGGGAGGTAGGCGGTGGCTAGGGCAGGGGTAGGCGCAGAGAAAGGAGAGGGAGGCGCAGGGAGAGAGGGAGAGAGGCACTGAGAGATAGACAGGGAGAGGGGTAGGGGAAGAGCAATGCTCTATTCTTGCTTAAGATCCAAATGGTTACATGACCCCTATATTTCTAGTCCCTAGGGGACTTGACCTCCAAGCAATCTATAGGTAGAGTCCTTATAGATCTGGACTCTCCTTTCCTAAACAGACTCTATTTCCTTTTTCTAATCCTCATCTAACTCTCTTTAATTCCCATCTAATCTGGACTCCTCCAGGTGGGAGGGGCTGGCGGCGCCATAGAGTCCGCCCCCGGGTCGCGCGCGCCCCTGGCGGTGCCTTGGGCCAGGGTGTGACCGGCCAGGGCCCTCCTCTGGGCCTCGTTTAGCCCGGCTCGGGGACCTGTATTTAGGCCCGTAACAGTTAGTATTTTGGATGCAAGTGCATGCAGCCTTGTAACTAGTTCAGCTGTAATAAGAAATTAATAATGATGAGTGATGATTTGCTAATGCTAAATTTCATGGTAAAAGAGAACGAAATGGTATTTACATTGACACTAAGTGGTATAAATGTATACCTGCAAGTTATTATGAACATTCACCTGAACTTACTTTTACCATAAATTTGTTGTTATGAACATTCACCTGAACTGACTTTTACCTTAAATTCTCAAAAAAAATCTCGAACGCGCAGGAGAACTGCATACCTTTATATTTCAGGGAGAGAGAATAGGGGAAGAACCCTGTACAAAGAGACCTACTTATCTCACCTAGGAGGTAAGATGAGATTGCGACACCAACAGAAGCACGATCCGACCTGAAAAGAAACCCTACACAATACCCTCTACACGACAAAAAAATAAATAAATTCTGAAGCTTTCAGGCTCCAGCAAAACACCAAAACTTCTAAATTCTCATTTTCCTATTCTGTAAGTTGTCTTCTGTTTGCTTCCATCAATTATATGCTAAGTCTTTCTTACAACCAAGTATATTATGAATTTTCCATGTTTGTCTTTCATATCCAGAAAGTCTGAACAAACAGGTGTTCCTAGAAAGATTTGCAGTATTTGTCCATGAAGGAACTCCTTTATCAACAGAGGAATTTAAAATTTTGTTTAACAAGAACTATCACTATGAGCCGATTTTGGAACTTTCTTCTTATGTGCATAGCATTCCTTGCAGATTGGATTAGCTGGCAATTTGAAGGACTATGTATTAATATCTCATACTGGAGAAGCTAGGAAAGGATCTGAAATTCGCACCTTTGATGGCTCATCAGTTGGCTATGCTTCATCCCCTATAGAAATAGTAAATTCGTGAACTTTTTTTTTATAAAAAAACTGTATATATTAAATTGGAATATCCAGGAATACATTCTGGAGGAGCATAATATGCTTTCTGATTAGGACGGCCTGCATAATTGAATTACTTTTTTTCCTTATTTATTCTGCTAAAAATTCAGTTACTGAAACATACCACTGTTTCTTGGATTTCAGATCAACTATGCCTCTGCTCATGACAATGAAACACTATTTGATATTATTAGTCTAAAGGTATGGAACTTATCAGGATATCCAGGAAATTGACTGCAATTTACTTATTGTTCGGTATCAATTATCAATCTGCCAATCAATCATTTTCTTTTTCTTTCTTCAAAAAAACATTTACTGGCAAGACAGATTACCGTGGATGTTTTGTTACACTTTTTTGACTGCTTGCAGTATTTGCTACCTTTTGAAGTTATGCTTTATATTTGTAAAGTAAGCATGTTATTTATGTGGCAATATAGTTTTCCAGAAACAATTTTACTCTCTAGTTCAGGCACGATCTGGTACTTTCTGAAGCTTTTCCTTGGTTTGCTTGTGCAGACTCCGATGAACCTCTCAATTGACGAGCGATGCAGGATAAATCATTTGTCCACAAGCATGATTGCATTATCTCAGGTCCTTATGAAAGTTTTTATTGATCACTTGTTTTTCAATATGGATAATCTGAATTTGAATTTCCACTAAAATAATTTGCTTAGTAAAATGTGTGGTGTGGCCTGTCTGATCTATCTAGCATAGTGGTAGTCGCATCAGCTAAACCTTAAACTTATTTTTCTTCTTAATATAATGGTACACAGCTCTACTACTGGTTTGAAAAAAAAACCTTAAACTTGTTGCTGCATATGGAATCACTAAATGGTCGTATTTTCTGATACCAACTGCAGATTACTTCGTTTGGATAAGTAAACATGAGACCCCTTTTGTTAGGATGTTAGTATTTGTAAATATTGGGACACAAAACTATAAATATTATGAGGCTTAGCTAAACTCCTTCAGAGGCACATTGTACTATGATCTAACCTGATTTGTTTTTTCAGCTTTCAGCACTAACATATTCTGCTGATTATGTAAATTTTTGGTTTTCTTAATATCCATGTACTATATGTTTTCAACTTTTCATGCATTGACCAATAACTTAAGAATTTGGAATGGGTTTCTCATTTTTGTATCATTATGTATTTATGTGTACTTCCAGGGAATACCCTTTTTCCATGCTGGCGATGAGATACTACGATCTAAGTCGCTTGATCGAGATTCATATAACTCTGGTGATTGGTTTAACAAGTATTGCTCTGGCCTTTGGATCTTGACACAAACAGCAATTACCAGCTAGCAAAAATTGAATTGCTTTCAGGGATGATAATTTTAAATTGAACATTTACAATTGCTTGTCATTACCATAACTTCTCAATTCTTATCCTATATGAAGAACTATTTTAAGTTGAACGAACGCTTCCCAATCACTTAGAATGTAAAACAGGGTAAATGTTCTGTTCTCTTCCTTTTTGAAGGATTGATTTCACCTATGAAACAAACAATTGGGGTGTTGGGCTTCCACCAAGAGAAAAAAATGAAGGGAGTTGGCCTTTGTAAGTTTCAAATTCTTCTTGAGACTTCATAGGGCATTTATTTATTTATTTTTGAATGATGCAGGATAACCGTGTGATTTAATTTATTGCAGCTGAAGTGAACACTTATCTTTGTTATATATCATATTGTTTCCCTTTTGCAGTAAAGTAGCAAGTGACCATTTTATCACATAATATGAAAATTTTCAGGATGAAGCCAAGATTGGAGAACCCGTCATTCAAACCTGCCAAATGTGACATTATTGCTGCCTTAGACAATTTTGTCGATATCCTGAAGATCAGATACTCATCACCTCTCTTTCGTCTAACTACAGCAAGTGACATTGAGGTACATGGATTTCTTTGTGAACCTCACCAGACTGTTGTACTGCTATCATATAGATGAGCAGCTTTTCCTTGCTAAGCACAAGCATAAACCACCTTTCTGCAAATTTTGATCTATGTATCAAGTAAAATTTACAGATTTCATGTGCCATGGAGCTATACTTTGCAATGGGACACAAATGTATGTCAACTGATACCATGCAGTTGGAAACCAATTATTGCCTGAAAATTAGAGTAAACAATAATCCTCCTGTAACATTTGTTTTTTCAGATCCACAGCATAGGTACAACAAATGAACTAATAAAAACCAACTGCCGCCAAAAAAAAGCTGCTATCTTGATTTTTTTTCTGTTTTTGGTTGTTCTGTTGCTAGCTGTAGTCATGAGTCCTGTTCATGTAATGTGTTTTATGTCTTTAGTTTGTGTGTCTATTGTTTTGGATGGCATGTTTCCTCTTAATATAATGAGCTGTGTTTGAGGGGAAAAGAATTACCATTTGTTTATTTGATCTCTGGCTCTTTCTCTCATACTGACTGTCACGAGCTGTCATATCTTGTTTCAGCAAAGGGTTCACTTTCACAACACAGGGCCCTCCTTGGTTCCAGGAGTTATTGTCATGAGCATTGAAGATGCAAGAAATGATAGGCATGAGATGGCCCAGATAGATGAAACGTAAGCAGCATTGCTATATTTATATTCCTGTCTTGGACAATGTAAATTTTTTTATATTAGCTGAAAATTGAAAATTAATTACAATCTTTTAGTTCTCTGCACTTCTATGTATCTGCTATGGAGATCTTTTGATGTTCTCTGCAAGAGCTAACTGTTTATGACTTTCCGCAGCTTCTCTTATGTCGTTGCAGTCTTCAATGTATGTCCGTACGAAGTGTCTATAGAAATCCCTGATCTTGCATCACTGGGGCTTCAGTTGCATCCAGTGCAGGTAACTAATCATACTCTCATCAACAATAGGCAGTTGTCACAGGCTCACAGCATTGCTCTGTTACCATTGTTACGATTTTACTCCCAGTCCAGTATTCACACTTTCTAGTGTAGTTGGGAAGTGAAATTTCCTGTTAAATTGAATAGAGAATAATTGAGTCTCATGATTTGCAGCTTTATTGCACCACGCGTCTCTGTTGTCAGTGTAATAAAACTGTGAAAAATGTGAACACTGTTCGGTCTGCAAATCGTGTGTAATATTGAATAAGCACTGATTTGCAAAGAGAAATGTAACCTTGTACTTTGGAGTATCAGTTTCTTTCATAAACCATTTAATCATTAATCCAAATTGATGTGTGAAGAAAAAGATGGATCTGAAGCAGTAAAAACTTAATAAAGTTAATATCTAATGGTTCTTATATGAAATATTTCAGGTGAATTCATCAGATGCTTTAGTCAGGCAGTCTGCCTACGAGGCCACCACAGGTCGATTCACCGTGCCAAAAAGAACAACAGCAGTGTTTGTTGAACCCAGGTGCTGATGGATGGCTTTCGCGAGCAAGTGCATTTGGGCATCGAACTAAATGAATGAAATAGGAGAGAAGTACATTATATACATTTACAGTATATAAATAGATGGAATAAGAGGTTGGCTATATATGAATATATGAAAATAAAGTGCCAAAGTTGCCAAGGCGCGCTTGCTTTGCCATATGTATGACACTGATTACCAAAACAGGAAAAAAAAAAGCAATGTATAGCTCTCAAAATAAATAAATAAATAAATGATGTTGAAATCTTGTATCATCCATCCAAAATGGCAACGGTACAAAAGCATTGAAACATTTCATTAGAGCGTTGAACCACCCTCCTTTCCAGTTTCCATGGGTGATTAGCATATGTATGGAATAAATTAATTTCCTGCATCATCATGCTTCTACTTGATCTCTCTATATAAATTTGTGTGATCTTTATTAAGCAAATAAATATAAGAATCATAATCCTCTGCCCGTGATCGATTTTTACGCTCACTAATCATATCACGGCATTAATCAGCTCCCAGGGCAGAAGGTGATGTCATAGGTGGAAGCGCCGGAACAGGTGAAGGTGCTGCTGGCGTCGTCGTAGGCGTAGCTGTACGCCGACGGGCAGACGCTCTTGAACACCTGGGAGTAGTTGGTGGGCCCGCACGTCGCCGGCGTGCCGTACTGTCCGGTGCAGCAGTAGCGCGCGCTGCCGTAGGCGCCGCACGCGCTCTTGCACGCCACGACGCTGCCGCCGCCGGACGAGGCGACGACGCGGAGGTCCGCGGGGCACATGGCGTTGACGTCTCCCGCGCACGCCGCGGGGCGGCAGTCCCCACTGCCGCCGCCGCCCGAGGGCGCCACGCGCACCGGCACGTTGAAGCCGTCGACGAGGCTGACGTCGTAGAAGTCCGCCCCACCGCTGCCCGGCGCGGCGAGCGTGACCTCGACGAGCGAGACCGGCGGCGCCGGCCCGCGGCCCTGGCACGCGACGTCGTCCGTGCCGCAGTCCGCCGTGGCGCAGGAGAAGCGGCCGGTGGTGGAGTCGACGCCGCAGCCCGTGCGCGCCCAGAACGTGCCCGACCATGCCCCCGACGACGGCGCGTCCAGGCGGGACGTGGCGGACGGCGCCAGGTAGAAGCCCGAGCTTGCCAGCGGCGGCGAGCTGGCGCCGTGGAGCGCGCCCACCCACACTGGGTGCTGGCACGCGTTGGTGAAGCTGAACGATGCCGCTCCATTCACGCCTAGCGCTGCACACATTCAATTCGCAGACGAAATGTAATACTAACTAGCTGTATATATTATATTTACATGCATGCATGCAGAGAGAAATCATGGAAGGATTCCTATAATAATGAAAAAAATCAAATCATGCAGGAATTAAACGTACTAATAATTAATAAAGATAAAAAAAAAAAGGTTGAAGAAGACTCCGTCAAGATCGATTATAGGAAACAAAAACTTGATGTGAATCCAATTTCACGCACAGACCAGAAGTCCAGAACCAATGATGAAATCTGGTTAATTTCTCCGCAAGAATGCTGGATCAAACTATGAAAAAAAAAGCACCAAAGAACACAAAGAAAGAGCAAAAAACATGTGGGAAAAAAAAAGAATCCCACCGCACCTGTGAAGAGAAGAAGCTGAAGAAACAGGAGAATGACCGGAATGACCATCCTGCTGTTCCTGCTAACTCCATTGCCTCCGGCCGAGAGTTGGAGAAGAAGGTGAGCTACCTCCATGGCAGTGGCAGCAAGTCGCGATCTCGATCTCAGAATCAGATAATGGCCGGGGCGATCTCGATCTGTCTTGTACGTGTATATATAGCAAGCAAAATCAAGAAGCTAGCTAGCCCCAGCAGGTACGGTGGTTGGCTGTAGCTTTGTCGTAGATATATAGATCGATAGGCCGTGGGCCGGATAGAAGATGCGTGGAGAAGAGAAAAAGGCAGGCAGGCAGGCAACAGATGAAGAAAAAGTTTCCACCTTTTCGGCGAATTTATGTCGGCCCCTCACGCTTGGCGTGAGCTATCTATCTAGCATCATTCTTGCTAGCTGCACTGCATCATGCAGATGATTCATGCATTTGTTTTCAACATTTAGCCAATCTTTTTGATTTGCGCCCTCCGAAAATAATCCCCTTTGTCAGTTCACCTGTCAATTGACTTACGCAGAGACAAGATTCAGGCACGGACAGTTTCTCTCCAGTTCAGGAGAGAGCACTACCAAACCTGCACCAAATCGGAAAAGGGAGCCAGATCTACACTAATTTAATACTGTAATCGGTGGACTGAAGTGATGACGATCCGTGCATGAAGACATCGATTTGATTCGTACGTACGTGACGCCAATTACCACACATCCCCATCATCGCCCGGCCCTTTTCTGCTGTTGCAACAGGTGAGGCCAACAGCTAAGCTAGACCAGCAGCAGTCAGCTGCTCAGCTCAAAAAATCCAAGGGATTAATTGGAACCATGCCACTGCAACTTCGATAACGATACCCGTCCTTCCGGACGGGACGGACCAGACTCGCGTCGCGCCCTTGCTTCTCACGCCTTGCGCCGGACCCGCCTCGCGTCGCGCGCCCTCCCCTGTCAAGCCGGACCCGCCTCGCGCTTACGCCCCCCGTTCATGCCTCGTGTCGCATTTCAGATGTACGTTGCATATGTTTCATCTGGATGTTGCAAAAGTAAATATGGTATTATATATGTTGTAATGGCTATACACATATGTTGCAATTGTATGTTTCCAATGTTTCAGCGGTTTCAAATGTATGTTGCAAGTGTTGTATTTTGATGTTGCATATGCTGCAGTGATTATACACGTAGGTTACAAGTGTATGTTCTAAATATTTCAGCTGTTTCTGAAATATGTTGTAAGTGTTTTATCTGGATATTGTAGTGGTTATACATATTTATTGTAAGTGTATGTTCTAAATATTTTACCTACTTTAAACCTATGTTGTGGAGTCTTTCATGTTGCCCATGTTTTTTTAGGCTGTGTTTAGTTCGCGATTTTTGGAAATTTGACTACTGTAGCACTTTTGTTTTTATTTAGCAATTAGTGTTCAATCATGGACTAATTAGGCTCAAAACGTTCGTCTCGCAATTTCCAACCAAACTGTGCAATTAGTTTTTTTTCGTCTACATTTAATACTCTATGCACATATCGCAAGATTCGATGTAACAGCTACTATAACACTTTTTGAGAAATTTTTTAGAAACTAAACCAGCACTTAGCAGCCAGCATGCGAAAAGCAGCAGCAGGCGCATACGGGTACGCGCAGCCCAGTAGCACATGCGTAGGCATGCAGCAGCATCTTGCGCATGCGGCCGTGCAGATAGACGTGCTCGGCGCATGTTCAGTTCTATCCCAAAATACAAAAAAGTGTTATAGTATCTGTCACATTAAATGTTTACGGCCCATATATAAAGCATTAAATGTAGACGAAAAAAATTAATTGCACAGTTTGGTGGAAAATTACAAGACGAACGTTTTAAGCTTAGTTAGTCCATGTTTGAACACTAATTGTCAAATAAAAACGAAAGTGCTACAGTAGCCCAAAATTCTAACTTCTTGAAACTAAACACGCGTTTGGCTGTGGCTTGTCGTAAATGATCGTAAATTTTTAGCCGAAACAGTATTTTTCTCTCACACAAACCAGCCAGCAGTACTTCTTCACGAACCAGCAACGAAACGAACCAGCCAACCGAACGGGCTGGATGGCATCTCCGCGCGTGTTTAGTCCCCACCCCAAATTCCCAAAAAGTGCTACAATAGCCATCACATCAAATCTTACGATACGTGCATAGAGCATTAAATGTAGACGAAAAAAACTAATTGCACAGTTTAGTTGGAAATTACGAGATGAACATTTTGAGCCTAATTAGTTCATGATTAAACACTATTTGTCAAATAAAAACGAAAATACTACCATAGCCAAATTTTCAACTTTCACCTAACTAAACACGCGCTCCATCTCGAAGTCTTGCATGGAATTAATGGCAGTCCAGCCAGCCGCCTCGGGAACCGGCGGGGTATGCAACAGCAGCATTATAGGCGCGCAGCAGCATCTGACGCATGCGGCCGCGTGCAATGGGCGAGGCATGCAGCACTAGCATGTATATGCGGTTCGGATGAAAACAGTCGGAAAAATATCTTTTTTTTTTTGGCTGGGAACGAAAAGGCTGGACGGAAAAATGAATCCGGTATTATGGAATATCGGAAACGGAATATTTTAAACGAGAACGCGTCGATTACGATCCGGGAGCGGTGACACAAAACGGAAACATCGATATATGTAACCACCAGAAACAGTGAGCTCGATGCAACAATAGCAACCATGTATAATCCATATGCAAACAATAGCAAACAGTTAGCTCGTCAGAATATTTATGCAAAGAAAACTACAGAACTACCAAAAAAAAAGAAAATAAAAAAGAAAAATGAACAAAGGGCCAAACCTTGCTGCTCCTGTGCTCCATGCGTGAATTCCTAGGCCAGCATGGAATGATGGCCCGCATGCTCCTTGCCTCCTCTTTTCCTAGGCCAAACCTTGCTTCCTGGGCCAAACCTTGCTGCTCCATGGGAAAAACGGGAATTTTTCGCGAGAGGTTTTCCAAACAAATACGGAATCCGCTAATTCAATCGGGAAATCACTCTAACCGATTTCGATACCGGATTCAAATACGGGATCCGCTAATTCGATCGGGAAATCACTCTAACCGATTTCGATACCGGATTCGCCGAATTTTTCCGGATTTCTTCCCGAATTCGTTTTTTCCCGAGAAAATGATATCGGGTGGAAAATTCCGGTATTCGGTGTCGGTTGGTACAGGAATTTCCTGTTCCCACTTTCATCCCTATATGCGGAGCAGGCAGGCACGCGTTTTCGTCCGATGGGGGGCTAGCGTCCGGGCGCTAGCCACGGCCTTGCAACTTTCGCAGATTTGTACAGCTTGTTTTCTACTTTTGTACAGACTTATACCCTTTATAAAAATAAGTTCCGTAGGGGATTTCCTGTACAGACTTATACCCTTTATAAAAATGAGTTCAGTAGGTGTTTTTTCCTCCTGGTTTCCTCAAAAAAAAAATTATGTACACCTGAGATACGTCACTTTGTACGCTTTAGATCCGTTAGGCCCATGTGCAGATGTCAGTATTTTCGTATGCCCCAAAATACCCTGCTACAACCCCTCTCTCCGTGTCAATGACACGCGGGGTCCACCCGTCGTCCCCTACCTCTCCTTACTCCAGTTTGTGCCTAGCCTCCACAGGCCAGCGGCCGCCGTGGGGATAGAGAGCGGGGGCGCGTCGCGACGAACAGGGGAGGCAAGTGAGAGCAGCACGCGGCCCGGTGAGCTCGACCAGGCACGGAGGCACGCGAGCTTCACCCCGGGCCAGCGTGTGGGCGAGTGAGCTCGGCCCGAGGCAGAGGCTCGGGAGCTCCGCCCCAGCGCGCGGGCGGGCGGGCGAGCTCGGCCCCGGGTGAGCGCGTGGGCTCCGCAACCAGCGCGCGTGCGGGGTGCTCGGCCCCGGCGTGGGCGCATGAGCTCAGCCCCGCCGCGGGCTGACGGGGTGGCCGGAGCTGGGAACAGCAACGGATGTGGTGGCCGGTGTCATGGCTGGGGTCAGCGAACTCGGCCTCACACGCTGCGCACACAGGTCCAGCGAGCCCCCAACCCAAATCCCCCACTCTCGATCGATGCGGCAGCGGAGCATCGCTTGTGCAGGAATGAGGTGAGGTTTGGCGGCGCCGGCGGCAGTGGTCAGAGACAGCACCATGGAAGTTGTCGTAGATGTCGTGCTCCATCGGACGTTCCCACCATGGCCGAGTCGGACGTCTCGACTCCTGCCCCAGTCTCAATGCCGCGCTCCTTCGGGCCATCCAGCTGGACTCCCGGCCCTCGGGACACCGCTCGGTGTGCTGCCGTGGGCTTCTCGTGTTGGTTCTGGCCCGCAGCCCACAGTGCACCATGGAAGCTGGAGCATCGTCGCCACCGTCCGGGGAGTAGCCGGGCTGGGCGGAAGCAGCAGTCCAGGAGTAGAGGGATTCCTGGAGCATAGGGTCCTCCTCCTGGGGGCGGTCGCCTGCGGAGCGGATCGGCATTCTGAAGTGATCAGCGATAGGGTCTGAACTAACCGGGAGGGGGCGCTGCTGGCGAAGCTGCTTCTCTCAGGAATGTCCTTGGCAGACCGGCGAGCGGGAGCGACGGCGTTCCCAATCCTCGGCGTCGTGCTGAACGTAATCTCTCACCCGCGAGGACCCGGAAGGCGAGCGGGACCAGGAACGCCCGCGGTCCAATGGCTCCATGTCTTCTGTCCAACAGTCCATTGGCTCCTTCCCCCTCGCCCCTACCTGTCGATAAGACGGGGGCGAGCGAGTGTACGCACGCGCTGCCTCGATGTAGCCCTTGCAAAGAGAACGGTCATGCTCCGGCGACATTGTGAATTCCGCAACGAATTGTCCAGGCCGCAGGCGGGAGATGTAGATGTTGTGCCGCGGTACATGGAGCTGCTGGGACAGGGCATAAGCAACCTCCAGGGTGCTTGCGAGACGGGCAAGAGCGGGAGATGTGTCCCAGGCCACTGCACTTGAGGCAGCGGATTGGGTCACGACACTGGGCGACGCGGTGATCTGTGGCGAGGCATCGGAAGCAGCGGCCGGCGAGGCGATTTATTTTGGTCGCCGTCGAAGAGCTTGTCGTCATCATCTTGGACGTCATGATTGCAGCTTCGTCTTGTGGCAGGGGAGCAGTCTTCCTCCACCAGTGCTTCCGTCTGGCTTTTTGCCATTCCGGCGAAAGAGCGCCGGCCTGCACCTCATTTACTCGGGATGGCTCGTCGAACTCCCAGCAGGCGGCAGAGGTGGCTTGGAGCTTGGCGCCGTTGCCGCTGAGGTGCCCGAAGCATGGGGTGGGGGGCCTCAGATTCAGGCGCCTCCAGACCTGCTTGCGATGATGGCCCGGTGGCGATGGCGCGCGCTCAGGAACCACCAGGATCGATTTGAGCTTGGGCGGTCCAGCGGATCCGGACGGGGCAAGCATCTTTGGAGGCGTTGCGGGTGGAGGCGATTGGATCGAGGCCGATGCCGACATGGCTTCGGCGGATCCGGCGTGATGCGGGGCGTCCTCCGTCTTAGCGTCACCAGATCTGGCGGATCCCGTCGCAGTAGCCTGTGGCGCCCCAGGATGCGGAGCAGGGGCCGTCGTGGCCGTCGCTGCAGTTGGATCAGCAGGCTTTCCTCCATCTTCGTCATCAATGGCGGGGTCGTCTCAATGCCGACAGACTCCTCGTCCCAGTCCACCAGCTCCACTTCCTCAGCAACCTCCGTCGAGACTCGAGTAGAGTGGGGTTGGGATGGGTGGGTTGGGCGCTGCCGTCTCCTGAGAAGTGGGGGCGGCCAGCTGGGCTGTGGGCGACAGCGGCCGGGTGGCCGACGCCGTGGGGGTTGTGGCCGGGGGAGGCTGGGGCGCCGCCGCCGGGGATGCTCTCGTTCGAACTCATTCTCATATTTCAATGCAGTGAACGATGATGATCCTTGTTGGAGCTCTATGGAACCTAAAAACAAAAGGTTGAGATATGATTGAAAACAAATAGAAAACATTATCTCGATGAATCGAAAGAACTATAACAACATATTGAAAGATGCACCGTAACAAAATGAGACAGCAACAACAAATCAGAAATATTTAGTATCACTCCAAGAAATGTGATCTTCTATGACAAAAATGAGATGGCGGAGCTATTAGTCATTATAAATCATTCTGTTTATCACGTTATTTCTAGAGCTAGTAAAGGTATTGGATATCGTTACTGTGTTTTGTTTGATGCTCTGGTATTACTCCAAAATTTGAATACTAGTCTGATCGTTAAATTAACATGTCATTCAATTGAGTAAATTAATTGATGTCAAGCACACAAATATATTAATACATTCTGACTTGAACATGACCAGATCATCAAAGAAAATTTACACCCACTTAAAATTGCTGACCAGACTATCATTAGAATTTTGAAATCTTCCATTCCATCTTACAAAAAAAAGTGCCTGTTAAATAAAACTGACATGTCTCAAAATATTCCCTCAAAAAAGACATGTCTCAAAATATCATATCTTAAAATAACTTGCCAACCATTGGAAATTTAACCGTACCAGAAACCAGCATTGTATTTGGAATTCTACCATGTTGATCCTCTAAAAGATAAAAGTGACATGTCTTAAAATATCATGCCAACCATTGGAAATTTAACCGTACCGCAAACCAGCATTAGTTGGCAAAAGGCTCAAAGCCAATCAAATAAAGCAAAAAAAAACAAGATACTCCAAATGCAAAAAGCAAGCGTTGTCAACATTCCTTTTCCACCTCCAACAGTAAGCACTATTATCATCCCATTTCCACCTTCAACTCTGGAATGAATATGTAAACATCTTATATTCCTCCTTTTATCCGCTTCCTTGTCTCCTCTACAAAAAAAAATGATTTTAGAAAGACAGAGTATATGTGCATCACAAAACAGCACCATAGATTTTGTGCATAGCTCACAATGACAACAGTTCAGCATATGCATGATTTATAAAGAGTGTTGGCTAACAATCGTACCGTTAAACATGCTTAGAATGAACTCCCTCCTCAAAGATTAGTCAAGGGTTAGCAGCTTACTCATTTGATATGGTGATTTCACAAATACAGTAGCAGCTTTGATTTGTTCTGTCCCTATGAACCCTAGCTTGCGCAACTCTGCTACAACCTTCTCCCTTAAAATCTGCTGTGGATTTTCATTCATTGCCTTCTCTTGAATTGTAGCCTCACAGTCCATGGCTTCTGCCATTTTTCCAACATTACTAGCCACACCCTTTAGATCACCTTGGACTTCATGTAACATGTCCAGAAAAGGATCACTTGTTCCACTATCCTTGCTCTTCCCTCCTTGCCGCTTCCTCCTCTTGCAGCTAGATGATGCTGAGTCAACAGACCTTCTAAGGGTTTCTTTGGACATCCTATCCTCTTCTTCGTCATGCCGATTACTATGTTCAGCAGCAAGCTCTTCTTCCATGTTGCCAACAGCCTCACTGATATCTTCGACACCTTCACCAGTGGCTATATCATTTCTATATATTGCAGATAATGTATCATAGTAAGGGAATTTAATACCATATAGGCCCTTAGCATCAGGATGTAACAAACAGCTGTGTGTATCACTTGTGTGCTGAAAAATACAAACTAATAACTATATGCATATGTATAGCATCTACTGTATTTCTACGAAATATTAACCCATGGTTGGTCATAATGGACTATGCTAGAAAGATTTAAGATTCAATAAAACAACAATTAAACCTTTATGGCACTATTTGATCTCTCAAACTTGATGCAAAACAGTTTGCAACCTCCCTATTATAGCCCATGTTCAGCAGCAACCTCCCAATTATATAAAGTATTGGTACTGAAAAATATATAAGATTCAATGCAAGATCTGAACCATCTCTATGCAAACTCTAATTCCTCCAAATTAAGAATGAACTTGTCATGCAAGGACAAAAGTATTTTCATTTGCATTAGTATGCTGCGATCACTATATTACTTATTTACATTATGTAGTGATGCCAAATTATCCATCAGAACTACCATGTGTACTCAACAAGTACACCTTAACTACATAGTACAGAACTTCCAAAATCGAGAAGCTACATAGCACAGAACAAGAAAGTGCACACAGATACATCCTGGACAGAACAAGATTAAGTACTTGAAATCACCTCTCATGAGTCTCATCACCACAGACATGCATATGTAAAGTCAAAAGGATAGCGTACCTTGCAATGTTTATCGTACTGTATCTTTTCACACTGAAGCATCTTCTTAGTATCATCCCAGGTGAAGCCACTTTTGTTCAGCATTTGTTCCAGTGCTCCATACTTTGTCCTAAAATGCCTGACTCTAGACTCAATATGAGGTAAAGCTAAAATTCCAGCGCCAGTAGCTTCTCAACCAAAATGTCCTCCAATGCAGATAAATACCCATTATTAAAGCCTCCTCCTTGCCCCTTCCACTTTGGCTCCAATGATATCTCATACATTGCTTTCATAAGCTCATCATCGTCATTCATAGTACACTTCCTTTTATTCTTTCCCCTTCCACGCACAATTGTTGATTTCTGAGAAAGGTCCATAGCTGCATAGTATTAAGGCCATGTTAAAATACTACACAACTAATATATAATAATTTTAGAACTAGAAGAATATGAAAAGCAGACCTCAATTATTAGAACTAGAAGAAGCCCTATAGTTATTATATAGCCCTTGAGCAAGAACATCTCGAAAATTAGTCCACTCATTAGAAGCTGACACAGAGGTGATAAATTCTGGTTCACTAACTTCTCCTTCAATAATTTCCATTGAAGGTACCACTGTTTCATCCTCATCTTCCATTGGATCTCTTGACAAATTTTGCAAAATCAAATTATGCAAAAGGGCACAGGCCATTATTATTTGGCATTGAGTTTTTATAGGAAAATAAGATGGAGATCTCAAAATTCCCCACCGACCCTTTAGCCTTCCAAAACACCTCTCAATGATATTTCTTGCTTTTGCATGCCTCATATTAAAATATTCCTCTGTGCTATGTGGTGGATTTTGTGCAGTCCAACCTCCCAAGTGATACCTTTGACCTCGATATGGAGCTAAAAAGCCATTTGCATTTGAATAACCAGCATCTACAAGATAGTAACACCCTTAAGATTGCAAATAGAAACAAAATCAACATTTGCACTAGATAACTTATCAGGAAAACCACATGAATTAACAAAACCAAACTCGCCTTGGGGGATACGCAAGCCATTTGGCCTGGTAATGGCATCTCTCGGCACACGACCGTCATGTGTTGAGCCCTCCCAACCAGGTAGTACATAGATGAATTGCATATCAAGTGCACAAACACCTAGGACATTTGTCACAATGTCTGCTTTTCTAGACCTATACCTTCCTTTTAGCTGAGTTGTAACAGTCACCTTTATATGAGTTCCATCCATGGCTTCCAAACAGTTCTACAAACAAGATCCATGTAGAAAAAAGAATTGTCACATGCTTACTTTGTAATATGTAATTTTCTTTGTAAAAAGAAAATTTTGTTAACAAGTCATTTACCTTGAAATATTTCCAGTAACTATCTATGCTATTCTCCGGAATTGGTTCTGGGGTCTTAAGCAGTAAATGGTGCAATTTCAGAACAACTAGCGGGCATAAATTGAACTGCCTACTAACTGTCTCGCCACTTCGGAAGAAAGTATTTTTTACCGTCCAATTCTTCAAGTGATGGGCTAGTATGTATAGGAATTGGGCCACTATCTCTTCTAGCTCCATATTACGTGTGCCCTTCGACCCACCAACATCTCTAAGCATCTCACACAGGATGTAGAACGTTCTCCTATCCATCGAAACTCACTAATAAGGGGTAGTGTCGCTGCTACGAATTAGTTGGAACAACTTCTCATTTCTAAGTTCTTCATTTATTATCCTTCTCTCTATCTTGAAACACCTTCTTCTATAAGCCAATGCAAGAAAGAACCACATGTAATAGTACATGACGGAGATGGAAGTCAGCATATTTCTAAGGGTCATGTTTCTTCTTCGAATTCTTGTGGTTAAAGGAAGGCGAGCAATGATGCTGGACACAACATTAGTAATATATATTAATTATTTAAGCACTAACCAGTAAAATAATCTGCTATACACTTAGGAAAAAAATGCATTGTTGCATCGTCAAGTAAGAATTCAGAGCAAGTGTCTAGCGACATATCATATTTGACATGGAGCAGAGCAACATACAACATGGATTTTTTTACACTAACTTGACAACACAGATCTATATTGATCATCTCGTATAACTTCTAAAAATACAAAGCAGAGCTATATTGTCAAAATAATAGACTTTAACACTAAATCAACATTTTCTACGTGGTTTAAACTTATTTGGATTGCACACATACATTGTTTTGGATAACTAAGACAGCAGGTTTTGGATTCAATTAATGAGAAATTTGTGCTGTTTTCAAGAGCATGCTCAATCTTTTTGTCCACTCCTACTCTGTGCCATGAGAACAAAAATATATGGAGTGACAAATGGGAGTATGGGACTGTACAAATTAAATCGAATGGTTAATTAGATAAGTGAATGAATGAGCATAAATGTCAATTTCATCAACCTTGTCATCTGTATGAAATGGATCTGCTAGCTGGTCACTCAAATACAATTGCATGAAGGCATCAGTGGTGACATGGAATTGACAGTATGCATGAGATACTTTAATTTCGTTGACACAACAAAAATATCTCCAATTTTATTCAAAGTTCACAGCACCCGGACATGTATCTTACTTTTGCAACACAAGCGCATGAAACAAATAGGGATTTGAGAGGGAGAGGAGGAAGGCAACCACGATGTCATACATAAGGCAAAGGAGAACAGCGGTCCCCAGCGGTAATTTTGGTCCTAATATTCACCGGTACTGAACAGTGGTCTCCTCCGTGCATGGATCTTGGACCTGAAGAAAAAACGCCATCGAGGGTTCAGAAATAAATCGCGCTGGT